CAGAGGGTGGCTGTACAGCTGGTGCAGGTGGGCAGCCTCTAGCTGGATGGAGGAGGCTTTCCCGTGCCCCACCCCCGTGCTTCCAAGGGAGCGCTGAGAAAGAAGCTTGGGGACTCCCAGGGAGCAGGTGGCCAGAGCTGAGCTCAGTCTCAGGCAGGCAGTTAGCAAGCTGCCGAGGACTCTGAGCCAGGCCAGCATCCCATTCCTGTGGCAGGAATTTCAGGAACAGCCGAGGCCTCTATCTTGGGCTTTATCTGAGTCACACCGTTACTAAACCTCCACAGTGCCACAGTTACTGTGCCACATCCTCTACACACAAGGACTCATGAAATGCTCCCAGCCATCCTGCAAGAGGAAGGTAATGGGCAGAATGATTACCAGCAAAGCCTTGAGGTAGACACTTCCAACTCTAATTCTGTGACTTTGCCTTTCTATGACTCAGTTTTCCCATTACATCTGAAAAATGGGATAGCTAACAGCTACACAAAGTCCTGGTGTGGTACTGTAGGAGAATGCACTGGACCCAAGGTTGGTTTGAAATGCAAGGCCTGCAGTTCAAACCCACCAAGTAGCATTTATTGAACTCTTATTGAAGGACCAGCACCCTTTCAAGCACCCTCCATTGGATCCTTGTAACAGCCCTGCCATGTTGGGTGTGACTGGGGAGATGCCTTCACTTTTTTCTCTGCTGTAAGACCAGTAGTGCCGGCCTTGCACTTCAAACTTACCAGCAGCGCCTTGGAAACCCTATATAGGATCACTATGAGTCAGAACCGACTTGACGGCACTAAACAACAACAGCCTCCACATATAGCACTTACTATGTGCCCACATAAGGAGCTCTGGTAGCGTAGCAGTTACGAATCGGACTGCAAACCACAAGGTCAACAGTTCAAAACTACCAGCTGTTCCGCGGGAGAAAGATGAGGCTTTCTGCTCCCGTAAAGATGTACAGCCTCGGAAACCCTGTACAGGGTCGCTATGAGTCGGAACCGACTCCACGGCACATAACAACAACAACAACAATGTGCCCACATACTACCTCTAAATGCCTGTGAGGTAGATGCTGGTCTTACAGCAGAGAAAAAAGTGAAGGCATCTTCCCAGTCACACCCCACATGAATCCACTGGTTGTTACAAGAATCCAATGGAAGGTGCTGCCTTTTAATAAGAGTTCAATAAATGTTATTTGTTATTTGTGAAGCTTAAGTGTAACAAAAGTACCAAATAAAGCCACTGATGTTCTAGCCCAGATTTGGATCTGGGTTGTTTGAAGCCACTTTTAGATAATGTGACTTTGGGAGCAAGTCACCTACCCCTTGAGATTGTTTGACACTTGCTCCCTAGGGTCCGTTTGTGAGGGTCCAATGAGCTGGGTCAAGCCTTTGGCACAGTCAGTCCTGGCACGTGGTGGGCACTCAGTGATCGGTATTGGGAACCATGAGGATAACAAGTGGCTGTCTGCAGGACGGTCAGAGTAGAATTATCCGCCAACCAAATCCAGAGCCCTGCTGGCCACTCTGCTCTTTACTCATCATACACGATTGGCAGGTACACTGTATGCTGGGGACACCCAGGAGCAATAGCCTGTCCCTGCCTGTAAGGAGCCCCCAGGCAGTCATTTGTGGGATCAGTCTGGGACACTGAGGAAGGTCAGCAGAGGGGTATCTAGACATTTAACGAGACAGAGACATTTCAAGCTAAACTGGAATATGCCCTGGGGAAGACCAAACAGAGCCCTCTCTATTCGGCATGAACAGGAAGCACTTTAACCTTTGGAAGAGACAAGATCCACAGAGGGATACTCAGGAAGTGGGGAGCAAGACACAGGGTGGGAACTTCCAGAGGAGAAAGAGGTACTTTAGGCTTTGGAAAAGGGTATACCTGGTTCCGATCCCTTCCTTGTCGAGTGATGTTGGCAAGCCACCTCACTTGGTTGAACTTCCATCTCTTTACCCAATAGATGGGGATGAAAGTTCCCCACAGAGTTACTGGTGTGGCGCTGTGGGTTAATGTGCTGGACTGCAAAGTCAGTTTGAACTGTAAGGTTGGCTGTTCAAGCTTACCAGCCACTCCTTGGAAGCCCTATACAGAGTTGCTATGGGTCAGAACCGACTTGACAGAACTTAACAACAATAGAGTTATTATCAATGTGATATTTTAAGACAATATGGATCAAATCCAAACAACAGAGATCAGCTAAGGGTGGTGGTGTGCCGCTGAGTCAGTTCTGACTCATAGCGACTCTGTATAGGGTATTTGAGCCTGTAAATCTTCACAGGCGCAAAAAGCTTCATCTTTCTCCCACAGAGCAGCAGATGGATTCTACCTGCTAACCTTGTAGTTAGCAGTCCAACACATAACCCACTACGCTACCAGAGTTCCTTGAATAAAGCTAGTTTATTGTTTTTAAATGCCGATTCCCACTCATAGCGACCTGTATAGGGTTACTGAGGAGCAGCTAGTGAGTTTGAACTACCGACCTTGTGGTTCACTGTCCAGTGCTGAGTGCTGATCCTACAGTGCCACACCAGGAGTTCAGATAAAGCGAATTATTGTTAACTGCCATCATGTTGGTTCCCACTCATAGCGACACTGTATAGGGTTTCCAAGGAGCAGCTGGTGGGGTTTGAACTACCAATCTTGCAGTCCAGCGCATAATTCTGCAGCATTACGCCAAGGCAAAGCTAATAGCAGACAATAATTGGGAGCTCAGAATGTTTCAAATTCTAGCTCAACCTTCCGACCCTTTGTGAAAGTTGTTTAGTTGCCCTGTGCCTCAGTTTCCCTGTGCAATAGTACTAAGTTGCTATGAAGATCACATTCACAAGGTCTGGAACATGGTGAGTGCTATCCAGCATAAGCATTAGCTATGTTTTTGTTTCCTGGAAGAGACCTGGACCTTGGAGAGAAGAAATGGAGATGAAGAGTCGCGGAGAGGAGGGTTAAGTTGTCAGGGCAAAAGCAGTCAAGGCTGGAGGTGGAGGACTTTTGCTAACCTCTGCCAATTATTCTCCACATTTCCTCACTTAAAAAAATACCAAAACCCAACACAACACCACTCATTTTGAATAGCAATGTGTTCACTTGGTTCATAGGTCAAATCCAATAGTCAAAGGGCACTCTGATGTCTCCCTTCTACCCCATGCTCTCCAGTTTCTTGCACATCCTACAGGTGAAATTTTATATCTTATACAAGTATTTATTTTAAATATAAATGTGAATGCTCCTCCCCTACTTCTGCACAAAGGGTAGCATATCCTACACGCTAGCCTGCACCTTGCTTTGATTCACGTGTGAGAAATAACTCTTGTGGGTGTGGTCCATCTTCAGGAATTCATGAGCTTGCTAGACCTGGCAAACAGATTGTTGAAACATACAGCCATTAAGACCATGGGCAAGCTATTTTGGCTTCTCTGTGGGGAGGGAAAATGGGACTGTGCCATAGAATTGTATATGGGGAACCGGAATTGGAGGAGGGGCTTTTTGGAGACAAGAATAAAAACCATTTGTGGTGGGCCATGTGGCGCTTCTGCCCGTGTTACGGGGCTGGATGCCCAATTTTGCGAAATCGAATAAAGAAAACCTCACTCTCCCTAAAATGAGTACAGATTGGATTGTTTGAGCGTTTGTTTGTTTGTATGGACAACATTTCTCACACACCCACTTCTCCACATATTGGAGGACACTTCACAGTTCACCCTCAATTGTTTTTAGAGCCACATGTCCCTTGCTTAGATGTGCTGTGTTCTTGAGTCCTTTCCCCTTCCTTTTCCTTGTCCAAGGGTAGCTTGTCTCTCTCCCTCCCTTGCTGTCAGAGGAGTTGAATCCATGTAGCTGGGTGACTGGCTAGAAGGGCAGAGTCAGAGCCTGAACCCAGGTGCCCCATCCAGAGCTATTTGAATGCACTCAGCTTTGGTTCCACTCAAGGCTTCCCTCTGAGAAAGGCAAGCTCTGTCTGGGCAGACAGTCTGTGGATGATGGAAGGCCCTTCAGTGCATAGCTTTCCCCAGTCAACCTCAGGATGCAGTGCCCCTTGGGTCCATTGCAGTGCTGGATCTTCAGGAAGGACTGTCCACCAGCCCCTCCTTCCAGGTGAGCCACCAAGGAGAACTGGCTCAGCTCAGACAAGGGGCACAAGAACTCTGACCCTCTTTGGTGGCCACTTGGAGCAGCTGCTATCTCCCTGCGGGTTCCCCCAAAAGACCAGTTTTAGAAGAAGTAGCCATAAGGCCTATGGACATGTTGAACAAGTGCCCTCTGAGCCAATTATGATCCAATTATGATCTTACCCAAAGATAACCAAGTAAGTAGGTCCGGCTGCCAGGGTCAGGGGTCATGGACACAAAGCTAGGCACTGAGGTCAGGGTGACTGCCCTGGGCCTGCATGGCTCTAACCAGGTTCTGGGGATTCTGGGAGATGCAGCATGGCAAGAATTCTGCCTGACAGACCCTCTTCTTCCAGGCTCTCCCTGTCCCCTCGTCCTACCCGCCCACTCCCTGGCCCTGTGCAAGCCAGGACTCCCGGGCAAAGTCTGGGAAAGGATTTCTCCCCCAGCTGCCCCCTCCCTTGTCTCTTCCTGCTTGTTCCAACACCACTCTCCCCCAGTTGGGCTGTGGGAAGAATGCCGTGTCCTCTGAATTGGGGCCAAGAGTGACAGGTGGTGGCAGTCAGAGCTGCATGGCCCCTGGTGTAAGAGATCCTCTCGCCCCGTCCCCGCCTCCACTGCCCGCACCCCTGCCTCCACCTCTGCCCACCCGGCCCAGTCCCTTACAACTGCCCCAGGACTACTCCTGGGCAGCCGCTGCACCACAGACAGCTACCAGGCTCCCCTCTTTCCTCCAGGTACTGCTCTTCCCTCGGCCACCTAACCCTGGCCACCCGTCTTCCACAGCCAGACGAGAGGAGGAATTTGACAGCCCGATCAATACGCCTTATTCTTCTTTCTGCAGTTAGAAAGACTTGAGTTAGACACGCAACAGCACACACCTCCTTGTTCATGGCGACAGAAAACGGAGCAGTCGAGCTGGGAATCCGGAGCCCGTCAACAGGTGCCAGGCTGGGGCAGGAGACAGAGGGAGGAGCTTGGGTAGGAGTGTTTGAGTCCAGGCTTCAGCAGGATCCTTGGTAGAAGTCCTGTGCTGAGGCCTCTTTGCACAAGCCTTCAGGGATCTCGAAATCAGAGTAATCTCTGGGGAGGGTGGGGCTAGAGCCAGGGCCTGTAGGAAGCCCTCCCCGGAGAGACTGGGAAGATATAAGGCCTCCATGGATGGTTGTGGGCAAGGGATCGAATCAGGGCATCAGCATCTAGCCCAGATGGGGTCAGAGGCCAACCATAGAGGCCCACCAAGGTCCTGGTGGTCCATCTCTAGTGACCTCCTCAGGCTGAGTGGGACCTGAGAGGGACCTGGGCCCAGAGCTGGTCTCTGCCTAGCCTAGTTTCAGGGAGAAGGTGTGGGGTGAGTGGATCCTGACTGATTACTCATCTCCTTTGCAGACAAGGCACCAGAAGGTCCAGCAGATGAGGGACCCTCAGCTGCAGAGAAAGACCCTGGCCCCTCAGACCCAAAGAAGGATCCTGGGCTCTCAGACCTAAAGAAGGATCCTGGCCCCCCAGGTCCAAAGAAGGATCCTGGGCTCTCAGACCCAAAGAAGGATCCTGGGCTCTCAGACCCAAAGAAGGATCCTGGCCCCCCAGACCCAAAGAAGGATCCTGGCCCCCCAGGTTCAAAGAAGGATCCTGGGCTCCCAGGTCCAAAGAAGGATCCTGGGCTCTCAGATCCAAAGAAGGATTCTGGGCTCTCAGGCCCAAAGAAAGAACCTGATTCATCCAACTTGAAGAAAGATACCAAAGCCCCTGCCTCAGAGAAAGGGGATGGTGCTCTGGTCCCAGGCCTCAAGGAGGATGGGGGTTCAGGTGGAGGGCCTGCGGAGGGCAGTGCTGGGCAGTTGGCCGCCTTGCCGCAGCCGACAGCAACCATCGAGGCCAATTCCAGGAAGCCCATGGCTGAGCCCGGTACCTTGGGCAGCCAAGACCCTGGAGAACCTAAGGTGGCCAAGAAGGCAGCAGAGGACCTGACCTCAGCCAGAAGGGGCTTGCCTGCCTTCCTGCATAGCCCCAGCTGTCCCGCCGTCATCTCTAGGTGTGTACTCTGCCTGGGAGCGGCTCTGTCTCCAGGGGTTAATGCTTAGCTCCCCTAGTCTGGTATCACTATCTCTGCATCCTGTGCTGAGGAAGGTCATTCTGACATTCAGCACCCCCTATTCTGGCCATTGTCCCTACCACTTTGTCTCCCTGCAGAAAGCAGGACTTCACCATAGTTCATAGAAACTTAGAATGCCAGATAGCAGAGTCCTCACTGACCGCTAGGTTGAGTGCTTCTCTTCTTGTCATCCGGGTTCAGAATCCCCTTTACTTCATGAGCTTGAGTCTACCCAAGAGCAGGGCTGGAATTCAAGAAGCAAGAATGAACTTTCTTCTTAATATAATTGTCAGTGTGCTATGAAAAGATGATTGAGAAGTACATTGTTGTTGATCATTACTAATACTGCCCCATAACCCTAACATAGCACCAGTCTTACTTATGCAGTCTCTCACCTTGATGCTAACCATATTGATAGATTGCAAACCACAGGAACACTTAGCAATTTGATCATTATGTACTGATAACAATTATATCACATAAAAAGCATAGTTTTGATGAAACAGGAGGTATGCAATCTCTCTAATTGTGTCCACAAGATGATTGTCCATAGTAACAATCCTGTAAAGATTTACAGTCTCGGAAACCCTGTATAGGGTCGCTATGAGTCGGAACCGACTCCACAGCAAATAACAACAACAACATTAGTTATTAATGATCTGTTAGTATGTTGATGGGCAGGATAACCATCACACCATTCACTAGGATTATTCCTAGCCCCTGACTTTGTATAGTGAATTTGGGGGCTGGGAGTTGGGAGGCAGAATTGTTTTGGCTCCAGACTGCAGCCGAGGCTATGGAAGTATCACGACCTGCCCAAGGCTACTGAGAGTTTCATCTCTGTTTTCCCCTTTCTAGTTCCAAGAAGCTGTTGGCTGAGAAGCCCCCAAGTGGCGCGTTGGACCTCGTCTTTGAAGGGGTGCCTGTGACCCCCAGCCCTGTGGGTGCAGGGCCAGCCAAGGTGGCAGAAGGAGGGGAGAACACCCCGGAAGGGGGTCAGAAGGAAGCAGGAGAGAAATCCCAAGGCCAGGCTGGCCAGGCTAAGGTGCCAGGGGACACCTCGAGTGAGACCGCATTCCAGGCTGGTCCTGCAGAGAGATCCGAGGTGGGGCAGGCCCTCTGTCTCACAGCCAGGGAGGAGGACTGTTTCCAGATTTTGGGTAGGCCATGAGCAGGTGGGGTGGGGGTACTCTGGGGCTGGAGTTGGGGGGGGGAGGATCCCTCTGATGTGTCTTCATTCTGAGGGCTAAACTGCCCTGAGCCATGCCTCACTCAGGCCAGTCCACCCAAGTGTAACACAGCTCTAGGAAGGAAGGGTTCCTCCTATTTAGTGTTGATAGATGGGGACTTGCAGCTCAAACAAGAAGAAATGAAGCACCCCAAATCTACAGCTAGAATGTGGCAGAGACAGGATTTAAATCCAGGACAGCCTGACTCCAGAGGTCACTTTTATTTTACTTTGACGATCAAACCCAAACCAAACGCAGTACCATGGACTTGATTCCAACCCCTAGCCACAGCCCCTAGACAGAGGGGAACTAGCACATAGGGTTTCTGTGAATGAACAGACTGCTGCATCTCTCTCCTGAAGAGCAGTTGGTGGGTTCAAACCACTGACCTTTTGGTTAGTAGCTGTGTATGTAACCCCTGCACCACCAGGGCTCTACGTTGGCCACAATAGGATAAAACTATCAAGCAGGTTGTTTGGGGCACCTGAGTGCTGTGAGTATATGAACTCCCCAGACAGCAGAATTTGGGGTCAGGCTGTGGAGGGACATCCAAGCCAGACTTTTGTGGTTAAATTTTATCCCAGATTTTATGGGTGTTATAGAGGGTTTCTAAGGAACTCTGGTAGGGTATTCGTTACGAATCGGGCTGCTAACCTCAAGGTTGGCAGTTGGAAATTAGCAGCCATTCCGCGGAAAAAAGATGAGGCTTTCTGCTCTAGTAAAAATTTGCAACCTCAGAAACCCTGTGCAGGGTCACTCCACGGTACTTAATAAAAACAACAACAACATAGAGAGTTTCTGAGCTAAGGAAGCACGGACATCTGTGCATAGAAGCAGTGACCCAGGAGTCTAGGCATGTGAAGTGGGGCAGGCAGGGCTGTGTGGTGGTTTTGACCATCACGCAAGGTTTCCTGAGTGGGAAGCAGGGAGCCACTGAGCGAAAGTACGCTTGTACCGCAGGTGAACAGGGACAGGGCCTGGGCAGGGTGGGGCAGGGCTGGGGGTGGGGTGAGACAGGGTCAGGAGAGCCCAGAATGTCCTGACACCCCCTCCCCCATGCTGAGGTGCCCTGGGAGACCCGCCAGGCTGCTTCATGAGTGGCATAGCGCCACCCAGACAGGGTGGGAGGACCTGGCGGCTGGGTGGCAGCCAGGAGCCCTGCCTCCTCCCCCAGCAGTAGCAGAGACCTCTGTCCCACCCCGCCCAGAAATCGCATCCTCCGAATGAAGGGACCTGAACAACCTCCAAAGGCCGCCTGATAAATCACCGGCACGGCTTCCCTGCCGCCTATGCTATTTATAAAGAGGTTTCCATTCCGGATGACTCAGCTTGCCCACAGCCAGGACACGCCATTCTCATGATAGCCACAAGGTGGCGGCCTCTCTCTACCAAACTTCTCAGTGTCTACCCGCGCCCCTCTTTCCCCTCCCCCTCCCCCCCCCACCCCCCACCCAAAGTCCCCAGCTCCCCAGCTGCTCCATCGCTCCACGGCTCCACGTCATTATCTCCGCCACCACCCCACTGTGGTTTTGCTCAGTTTGATATTCTCTCTGTCCAGGTCTGAGCAACGTTGTGGTTAGAGAGGAAGCTAGGCAGACCCCACCACTTCGTCATCATTCAAACATAGTAGTAACCCCATTGTCTGGCATCCCACCATTTTTTTTTTCCTTTGGAAATGCAGATAGCTTAGGGCCGGGTCTTCATACTTGACCCTGTGGACAGTCCAAGCGGCCCAATCAGCTTCCTTGTTCTGAGGGGAGAAGCTGAGTCTCCCTCTTTTGAGAGGTAGAGACCTTCCCAGATTGGGAACTGGCCTTCAAGCCCTGTCCTGGATCAGGTATCTGTCAGATATCACTTGGGGAATGTCTATTGATGGGGCTGAGCCAGGCAGGAGGGGGCTGGTGGTGATCAGTGAGCCCCAGAATCCCTGACTATGATGCCTCTGCTCCCCAGACGATTGCCCGCCGCCTCCCGCCCCCTTCCCACACCGCATTGTGGAGCTGAAGACCGGAAACGTCAACCGTGAATTCAGCATTAACTCCAAGGACGCGCTGGGAGGGTGAGTGGCCGGTCTGTCTTCCCAGGGACAGACCCAAACACCCACTGGGATGTAACTCTCTGGGACACACTGTCATGGGTGACCCTCCACATGTGTTGTGATGCACTGGGTGTCATTGCCACACACACAGACACAACCATCAGACGAGCCACTCAGTGATTGCCATAGAAAACAGACAGCAGTTTCCTGGCTGTCTGCACTACAGGTCCTCACACTGACCCCCTGATGGCGGTGCCTGTTGTACAAAAGGCCCTAACACAGTCTGGCACGTCTACAAATACCGCCTCTCTCCTGCCCTGGGGCACTTTTGCCTAGGGCTCAAAGACCCCCGGCTCCTGCCCACCATACGTCTACCTGACTGGGCTGTGGCATCTTGGGTCATCCTCCAGTGAGCCTTCCCTTCCTGGGCTAGTGTAGTTTCCAGAACATGCCTCATCTCTGTCTCTATAGCACCCCTCTCAGCTTCAGAAGAGAGGCAGGGGCTGGCTGGGCTGTGTCCTCGTACCTCACAGAGTTGCTCCCAAGGTTACCATTAGGTCCAGGCCAAGGTGGGAGCAGAGCACACCTCTCCCCTCCCCAAACCCTTTGGGGTCCCCTCACTCCAGCTTCTTCTTATCCAGGGGAAAGTTTGGAGCGGTGTGTACCTGTACTGAGAAATCCACCGGCCTCAAACTGGCAGCCAAGATCATCAAGAAACAGACTCCGAAAGACAAGGTAGTGGGGTGGGTGCTGGCTGCATGGGACGGAGAGGGGATCCTTATAGTGGGTGCTTCTCTCCTCCCTCCACCCACACCTCTGAGCAGGGGCCTCAATGCACTGTAGATGTCACTTGGACAAGAGGCATTCATCCCCTGTTTCCATTTGGCAAGCACAAAGGAGTGCAGGCTGTGGGCTGGGGCTGGGCCCTATGTTGGGCAGCGGTGGGGTGTGTGTGTATGGGGGTGGGGGCAGAGTGAAGTGGATGTGCAGGTCCCAGTGTTGAACTAGATAGAGTATTACCTCTAGCTCTTAGCCCCGGGCCTGGCTCAGTTGGAGGCCTGGAGTAGCAGGATCGATGATGGATGATCATGGGCCAAGGAATGAGGGGGCCCTGTGTGTGAAGAGGCAGTGATAACCCAGCAACCTCATGGGACCAGAGCGGTAGCTTGGGGTTGAGGTCTGTCTGGACGCCTGAGTGAGAATTTTGAAGAACAAGAAGGTGTTTTCCAGTGGAGAAATTTGAGGAGACTGTGGGAGGAAGGGCCTGAGGGCCAGAAATAGCAGTATCTGTGGGACCTAGTACAGTTGAGGCAGAAGGTACAAATTTAGTTTCTGAGTGCTCCAGGCAGAGACAAGAGCACATGCATGGCCCCAGACTCAGAGCATGGGAGGCAGCTGCAGGCTTCAGCCACCCAGTGCTTGCCCGTCGAAACTCTCTTCGTATTTCCCAAAGGGCCATGGGCTTCTCTGTCTCTTCCCACTCAACAGGACCAGAACCCATCTTGTTGACAACTAGATCCCCAGGCCTCTAGCTAAGGACATGGTTCAGCATAGGTGCTCTAGACGTATACACAGTTTCAATCAATTTGAGTCTTTGGTTTTTATTCCAAGACTGTAAACCTTTTTAAAAAACTTTTTATTGTGAATTGAGTGAAGGTTTACAGACAAGCCCATCAGTTTTACATCCAACAAACCACACTTTGTTTCATTCTCAATGACTGCAGTCTCCTCCCTGCACCAACAGTTACTCTACTTCTCCTCTGTGGTTTGCACTCCACCCACCTTCCCATCCCTTCTCAACTTTGTCCTTATGTACAGGTTGCCCTCTTGGTTTTGAATGATGGATCACTCCATGGTGAGCATGCCTTAATAATGGTGTTCCCCTATTTACCTATCTACTGTTTGTCTGAATATTAGACCACAAGGGTGAGTTCCTTTCTAGACCTGAAAGGTGGTTGAGGACCATAGTCTTAAGTTCTCCCAGTCTCTTTCTGACTAGTAAGTCCAGTCTTATTATTATTATCAATACTTTTGAATTTTGTTCTATATTTTCACGTACACTGTCTGGACCTTCTAATGTGATCCCTTTTAGAGCCATTGGTAGTGGGTGCCAGACATCATCTAGTTCGTTTAGTCTCAGAGTCATGGAGACTGATGTTCACATGTTCCATTAGGCCATTAGTACCGATCACTCTTCTTTCTTCCACACATGAGGAGACCAGTAGCTGCACCTTAGCTGTTATGTCATGAGCTGTTAAGATTCCAGATACTATTCACCAAAGTAGGATAGAGAACATTGTCTTTGTGGACTATGTTATGCCCATTGACCATAGTGTTCACTGAGACCATGGTCCTGACCCCCCAGAGCCAGCAACTCATTGCCTTAAGATATTTGATCATATCTAAGAAATTTTCATCATTTTGACTACTGTATGCTCCACCACATTCATAGTTGTGTTTGCAGGAAAGATAAATGTGGAGGTGGTGATGGTGTGCCATGGACTTGGTTCTGACTCATAGTGACCTTGTGTAGGGTTTCAAAGGTTATAAATCTTTATGGGAGCAGAAAGCTTCATCTTCCTGACGTGGAACAGCTGATAGTTTTGAGTTGCTGACCTTGAGGCTAGCAGCCCAACCCGTAATCACTATGTGACCAGGCATGGAGGGTAAAAATGTTCAGAGTAGCCTTGACTTTTGGTCCCCAGGAGATGGTGATGGTAGAGATCGAGGTCATGAACCAACTGAACCACCGCAATCTGATCCAGCTCTATGCAGCCTTGGAAACCTCCAATGAGATCATCCTGTTCATGGAGTAGTGAGTGCGGCGAATGGGGGAGGCCCGGGTGGGGGCCCACAGGCCTGGAAGCAAGCCTGTAGAGGGATCTGTACACACAGCATTGAGGGCGGCGAGCTCTTCGAGAGGATTGTGGATGAGGAATATCATCTGACCGAGGTGGACACCATGGTGTTTGTCCGGCAGATCTGCGATGGCATCCTCTTCATGCACAAGATGAGAGTTCTGCACCTGGACCTCAAGGTATGGTGCCAGGCCTCCCTGGGAGGGGTCAGGAGTAGCACCTGGCCATCTGAAATCAGTGTTGTAACCATCCATCCCTCCTTCTCTTCCTCTGCCCAATCTTCTACCCATAGATGCAGAAGGGTTGAACTGAGCACTTACTAAGGGTCAGAGAGTGAAAGAAGACAGGGTCCCAGCTCCCAGCTTCTAGTCTAGTACTAAGTGCTTGCTGAAAGGGTCTTTCACAGTCCCATGAACCCCAAGCTTAGCGCTTCACCCATAGAAGTTGCTGATCGATGTTGGAAAAGGACTGATGTCAGTGTTTGTACTAATGAGTATCAACAATTAACAAATACCAATTGTGAGCCTACCTTGTACCAAGAAGTCTCTGGGGGGTGCAAATGTTTAATACAATCAGTCATTAACTGAAAGGTTGGAGGTTCAAGTCCACCCAGAGACATTTTGGAAGAAAAGCCTGCTAAAAAAACAAGCCACTGAAAACCCTCTGAACACAAGTTGGCTCTGGCTCACCTGGGGTCCTCACAAGTTGGGGTTGACGGTCTTCCAGACAGTGTTGTAGGTGGTGGAGATGTAGTGTTGAGCAAAACAAGATAGAAATCCTTGCTGGGTGGCTGTGTCTGAGCCTCAGTTTCCCCAACTGTAAAATGAGGATGATTGCTAACTGTATCTGCTCTAACATCTGTTTAGGGATGTTGGAAGGAAGGTGACAGATAACCCAGAGCCTGCTGTATTGTAGGTTGCCATCAGTGCCATGCCTAATTGGAGAGATGAGAGTGGCCCATCTTAGGGGGTGGGGAATAGGGTGCAGCCCACCACTTCCAAGGGGCTTCCTGTGGGGGCCCTGGGCTGACATCTGACCCTAGGGAACACCTTAGCTCTTTCATGCTTTTAAATGAAGGTACAACCCACACGGATAGCCAAGAAATCTGTGCAACCCCTACCCTCTCTGATCCTTAGGACTCTCTTCTGGGCCTGTCTGGGCATGTCCAGATGGTCTCTGACGGTCTGTCCACTCTGCAGCCTGGGCTGTGGTAGACCTGGGGGTGGGAGGTGAGCTGAGTCAGAGGCTAATCCAGACCCCCACCCTCCACTTCCCACCCCTCAGCCAGAAAACATCCTTTGTGTCAACACCACGGGCCATTTGGTGAAGATCATTGACTTCGGTCTGGCACGGAGGTACCACTTGGGGGCAAGGACAGGGCAGCATCTGAGATCAGTGGGGGGGGGGGGGGGGGCTGCCTGGGAATGAGCCAGGAACTGTGCTCTCAGCTCTTGGTCTCCTCACCAGGTACAACCCCAATGAGAAGCTGAAGGTGAATTTTGGGACCCCGGAGTTCCTGTCACCTGAGGTGGTGAATTACGACCAAATCTCCGATAAGACAGACATGTGGAGTATGGGGGTCATCACCTACATGCTGTGAGCCCCAAGGGAGGGTGGTATTTATGGGGTGGGGGTACATGGACAGGCAGCCAAGGTCCCAAATTGAGCTTGGAGTCCTGGTGAGGTGGTCCCACCTCCATGGAAGCGGAGTCTGGGCTTTTTTATTTCGGGGGGGGGGGGCAGTGCACATGCTAGAGAGAGTCAGGGAAAGGGAACTTTCTATCCATTTTACAACTGGATAAGCCAGGCCCCTAAAGACCTTCAGCAAGTGTCCCAGTCCAGGGCTCTGGACCCCAGAGTGGAGTGGAGAGGTAGCAGACATCTTTTGTGCACTTAACCACGTGCCTTCCATTCATTCTTGCTCATCTTCACTGTAACGTTGGGAAGCTGGGATGATTATGACCATTTTACAGATGATAAAAGTGAGATTCAAGGAGGGGAAGTAACTTGCCTAGGGTTACCCAGCCAGATTCAAACTCAGGTCTGTCCCATTTGAGAGCCTGGGGGTCTTTTCAGCACATGGTGCTACTTCCTAGCATCTGTCCCCATCCCCTGATTCCTAAAGATGACTCTGTCTCCCCAATCTCCCCTCCCTGCTCCCTTCCCACCCACCCCCAGGCTGAGTGGCCTCTCGCCCTTCCTGGGAGATGATGACACAGAGACCTTAAACAATGTTCTGTCTGCCAACTGGTACTTTGATGAGGAGACCTTCGAGGCTGTATCAGATGAAGCCAAAGACTTTGTGTCCAATCTCATTGTCAAAGACCAGGGGTAAGACGGATTCCTGGAGGCAAACCCCATGTGTACAAGTTGAGTGTGTGTGCCCCACCATCACCATGCTCGCTGCCCCATCCCCACAGGGTCCGGATGAGTGCTGCCCAGTGCCTATCCCACCCCTGGCTCAACAATCTGGCGGAGAAAGCAAAGCGCTGTAACAGACGCCTCAAGTCCCAGATCTTGCTTAAGAAATACCTCATGAAGAGGCGCTGGAAGGTACAGCTGCTCAGGGGGCAGGGACGAGGAGGGAGCAGCTCTCATGGGGGAAGAGGTCCAGGTGCCAGGCCCCAGACTCACCAGCTAGGTCTTGGCTGCTTCTGGTGACTAGACCCAGCCCTGTCTGGGAAAATGGCGGTATCTTTCTTTGTCCAGGCCTGGTTCCTGCCATAGAGCAGTGACCACTCATCAGAGCTGGGTTAGGGGCTCCAGGGGCTTAGGTCTGGGCTCAGGCTCAGGAAAAGGCCCTTCTTTTATTCTGCTTTGGAGATCCCTAAATCCACCACCCCAAGTCGATTCTGACAAATAGTGAGCCTACAGAATAGGGCCAAGCTGCTCCTAGGGTTTCTGAGACTGTAAATCCTTAGGGAAGCAAACCACCTCATCTTTCTCCCAAGGGATGGCTGATGGGTTCCAACTGCAGACCTTTTGGTTAGTAGCCCAAAGCTTAATTCACAGCACCGCTAGGTCTCCTTACTGTGGATACAACAGTGAACAAAAAAACCGAGGATCTCAGTTGGGTGGACTTTCTCTTCAGGGGTAGTAGAGAGTCAGTGGAGTTCTGGTGTAGTGCTGTAAGATAAGCACTGGACCACAAGGTCAGTTTGAACCACAAGGTCAGCAGTCCAAACCCACCAACTGCTCCTTGGAAACCCTACGCAGGGTCGCTATGAGTCAAAAGTGATTCGATGGCACTTAGCAACAACAACAAAGGGTTAAACCAAAACCAAATCCACAGTCATTGAGTTAATTTGGATTTCCAAGGTTGAGCTCTGGTAGCGTAGTGGTTATGATTCGGGCTGTGAGCCGCAAGGTCAGCAGTTCAAAACTACCAGCTGTTCCGCAGGAGAAAGATGAGGCTTTCTGCTCCTATAAAGATTTCCAGCCTTGGAAACCCTGTGCAGGGTCACTATGAGTTGGAACCAACTCCACAGCACATAACAACAACAACAACAACAAATCTTTACAGGAGCCTGGTGGGTTTGAACTGCCAACCTTGTGCTTAGCAGTCCAGTGCTTATCCTACAGCACCACCAGGGCTCCTTAGAAAGAATCACGGTATCTAGAAAAAGGAAAATAAAGCGGTGGTGGTGGGGTTATCAAGAGCAACTAGGGATCTCACTGAGACAAGCCTGGAGGTGAGGCGGAAGTTGGCACAGGGGTGTAAGTGTTCCAGGCAGAGGAGACAGCCTGTGCCCCAAGGCAGAACATGGTGGCCAGGTTGAGGGGCATCACTGTTTTACAGAGGGGTCAGTATGACTGGAATGGCTTTGTGTCTGGGGGATGAGAAAGGGGAGGCCGAGAGCAACAGGAGGTCAGGGCACCGGGAGGCTAGGCCATGGCGAGGGGTTTATCTTTTACTGGGGTGAAACAGGAGTTGTTGAAGGTGTTTGAGCAGAGTAATATGCAGGCCAAAACATTATCCTGTCATTCCATTTTTTCACGAACTTTTGAAAGTCCCCTTGTGTGTTGAATGAAGAAACTCTTCGTGTGAAGCATCAGGGCGCCTCCTGTGGCCATTTTAAACACTGCACCCTCTCTGGTTCCTAACACTCCAGGAATGAAGGGGAGTGGAAGAAAGGAGTTTCTGGGTGGTGAAATGGTTCATGTGCGTGGCTGCTAACCAAAAGGTTGGAGGTTTCATTCATTCTACCCCAGAGGCACCTCAGATATCGAACACTCTATGGAACACAGTTCTAGTCTGACACACATGAAGTCGCCCTGAGTCAAAATTGATGACTAGTTAAGAAAAGATGCCCAGCTCTCCCAAAGCCCAGGTACTGATTAGGACCCCTCTTTTCTCTTCTTCATCCCTCAGAAAAACTTCATTGCCGTCAGCGCTGCCAACCGCTTCAAGAAGATCAGCAGCTCGGGGGCACTGATGACTCTGGGGGTCTGAGCCTGGGAGTGGCGGAGGACTGGACGCAGCCTCGCAGTGGCCAGGCAGAAGCCACCACAGCCCACAAGGCTAGACAGGCAGGCCAGACCTTCAGGGCGGTCTGGCTAGGACAAGGCTGCACCAGACTGGGAGGCTCTGGGCTGCCCACGCCCCCGCGTAGTGACTGCTTTCCTGAGGCGAACTGCTTCGGTGGAGTGTGGCCTGGATCCATCCTCCCCAGACAGGGTCCGGCCATAGCCGCGCCCAGACTCAGTTCCTGCTGAAGCTGCTCCCTGCCCGCTCCCCAACTTCCCTCTTTGAACTGCTGCCCTGGTGACCCTTGCTTTGCCCCTTCTGGGGTCTCCCTGGCCTGGGCTTGCTCCTAGCTGGGGTGGAGGGGATGAGGAGTCCTAGGGTGTGAGGCATCTGTGGCTGTGGATGGGAGGTTCCCGGCGGGGCAGGAAGACAGCAACGCTGCTGATTCCTGTGGTCCAGCTGCCAGGGAGACAGAGCCGGCTTTGTGAAAGAGGACCTCCATGCCCCGGCCCGCCTCCCCACTCCCAACAGATAAGGCCTAACACACACCAGCTGGCTGGGCTCGGCCCACGCCCACTTTCCTCTCGACCACCAACATACAGGAACTCTGTTAAAGAGAGGGCGCCCAGCCCAGGCCTGGGGGTGGGGGTGGGGATAAGCCTGGGGGACACAGGAGACCACCCTCGAGCCTGCCTGAGGGCCAACTCAGACCCAACCTTGCCACTGGGGGTAGCCCTCCCTGGGGTCGCCTGGGCAGGGAGAGGGCCCAGCAAGCCTAGGAGGAGTGACAAGGCAGATAGGTATCCCCCAACCTGCTCTCCGCTGTGCCTTGTAAATAAATGTACAGGTTGGATGCGGTTCCTGGTCCCTGTGAGTGTGCGCACGCATGTTTGTGAACTTACAGACGTCCGCTGCCACTGAGCCTCCAGTTGTGTGTCCTTCCCTAAGTCTGGCGCCAGACTGCCCAGCACGCCAGTTCAGCAAGTTATCTCCTCGCCCACCTTCGGGCTCTTTGTACATCAGTTTCCTCTTCTGTGAGAGGGAATTCACAGCAGCCAACACTTCTTGGGTGATTCCTGCTTGTCAGTCTCTGTTTAGTACTTTTCCATACATTAACTCATTGCATCCTCTGGCCAACGCTAGGCGGTAGGGGGCTCTTCTTATTCCCGTTTTGCAGAAGAGGAAACTGAGGCAGTGTCAGGGCCTCCTGATGACTGGACAAAGCGTGGGAGAGCAGTCAGTGAACTGAAGCTGAACTTGCTTGACAGATAAGGAAACTGAGGCCCAAAGACTGAAAGGGGCTTAAAGGGCTTGACATCCAGCAGCTTTTCTGTCTTCCAGAGTGTGCCCCACAGCCTGCTTCTCACTAAATCAAGGAGAAGCAGAAAGCAGGGTCCCCACAGAACAGGCAGATCTGTGGTGAATTTGCTGGGTCTGCCTGCAGTGACCAGGTGTCCCAGGAGAGCTCCGGGAGATGGCTGTTTTGTGCCCTTTCCCAGTGACCACAGCCCTGTCACCCCAAGTCTGCAATGCAGGGGAGGGGCTCCATTTGTTGAAGGGGGCACCCCAGAGGACAGGAGATAATCGGTGCATCCTGTGGTTGTGAGGAGAACTGGGTCTGCGGTGGGACTGGCCTGAGTGGGGTTGATGTTAACAAATATTGAGCACTGGCCGTGTATAGGTCCTGGGCCCAGCATTGTGTAGTCACTATCACTGCATGTGGAAGCTGTATTATTTCCATTTCTCAGATGTGGAAGGATGCCAGGCTTCTGTGAGGGCAAGCACTTGCTTCGGTTCACACAGGAGCCAGTGGCAGAGCCAGGATTTGTGCCCAAGTAGTCTGGACCCAGAGTCCCTACTCTTAACCAATACACTGGTCGCTTAGCTGCTTCCTTAGGGAGACCTTAGACTTGCCCATGAACCAAGACCGGGGTCGGGGAGGAGGTGTCTTCCCCTGCCTCTGTAAACGATGGCCTGGATGTGCAGACCTCAGTCCCCACCCTCACACCTATTCCATTCCAGCAGGTGGTGCAGCAGGTACCACATGGGGTGGGGATGTGGGGGTGTGTGTCTGTGGGACCTAAGTCTTGCCCTTGCAAACCTGGATTGGAGCACTTGGGGAACCTGGCTTTGGGTCTAGGTGGGACGCATGTACTTATGGGGCAGGGCCTCCAGGCCGGATCCTTGAGCACCTGCCCGCCTGCCACCTGCCAGCTGGGCTAGCCCTGTGGTTTCCTCTCAGTGGTTTTCTTGGCCTCCCTGGCCCCCACCCAAGGGCTGAGCCTTGGCCACACAATGTGCTGATGAGGAATGAGTCACTAGGGTGGGGGGAGGGGTGGGAATGAGGTATCTACCCAGAGCCGACATCCAGTGCCTGGATCTGGTAGGGGAAACCAGGTCTAAATGGGAAAGCTCCACAGTAGAGACAGCCACAGCTGGGACTAGAACTCAGGACTTCTGCTTCGTAGCGTAAGCCTCTGTTTTATCCTCTGAAGGACAATCTCAGCTCTGCTCTCTGTTACCACCTGACAGATGGGGAAGCGGTGCTCACTTGCCATATTTTGCAGGTGAGGCCACAGGTTCAGAGAGGGAAAGTAATTTTCCCAGGGTTACACTGCAAATTAATGTGTGCTGGTCAGCAAGCCCACCAGAACCATGGAACACGGCTGCTGCCAACCTTAGCTCTTTCCCTCCCAGGCACACCTTAGGAAGCTCTTTGTAATTCACCAGATGCCTCTTTTGGACTTCCCCTGCCCCTGGAAGCAGGGAATCTAGACTCAACAATATGAACAGAGAAATGGAGCTCAGAGAACACAGACAGGGCAAGCCGGGGCTGTGGCTTCTTGTATAAAGTGCAGTCTCTGCCTGACTGCCTGCAGACCTGGGCCCCAACTCCATTGATCTCACTAGAATCCCCATCTTGGGCAATTGCAGAAGGAGAGTGGGAATTTTCACCCTAGGAGCCACCCTGTTGGAAGCAGTGAGCTTACAGATGGTTTGAAACTGCCAAGCAAGGTGGGGCAAAGGGTCTGGGTTCTATAAGTGTCAGGGTGCTGGTAATGTCAGGGATTCAGCGTCTGCACTTCCCCTGCTCCTTGCCTGGTTTCCCCTGCCCACCACAATGCCAGGGGCATGGGCTCCTTCAGCACAGTGCGATGCCGTGATCTTCCTGCAGGGTGCGCTGTGCCTCCTTAGTGCCAGGGCCCAGCCTTTCCCTGGCACTTTCTCCAATCCAGTGTCCTGGGCTCCCCTTGTGGGCTAAGAAGAGTTAACACCCTTCATAGGACAGCTCTTCCCGGCTGGTCCCAACCCAGAGAGCTCCCTCCAACACCATTTCCTGAGTCTGGGCCTTGGCCAGGCCCACAGTGACCACCCCCATGGGCCTGGAAGCCACTGAGGCCGCATCTGGTTTGGATTACGCCTGGGATGGTGACGTTGCCTTTTCCTGTCTGGGTCCAGTGGCCTCGAATTCCACCGGCCACTTTGGCCCAACAGGGCAGTGGTGGGAAAAGATTCATCCAGTGACAAGGCTACCCTGAGGGCATGAAGCAGCCAAGGCTGTCCTGAGGGATGTGCCCACCTGGACCAAGCTTCAATCTGTCCAGTTTCCCACACACCTGTCCGTCCCTTCTTCCTTCACTCTAAGGAGCTTTGTGCCAGGCCTGGTACCAAGTGCTTCTACGGATTAATTCACTGCCTTCCCACCCCATAGTGGGTATTTTCATTATGTGCATTTCATAGATGAGGAAACTGAGGCATAGAGTTTTTTTTGGGAGGGGGGCAAGCCTTTGGTCCCCCAGCCAGTTAGTAGTGAGGTAGGGTGGCAAAGTAGGCTGTCTTCTGAAACATGCAATCACTTCATAACACTTTGGTGGACCCCCATATGGGTCTGGCCCCAAGTTACAGCCCAGCAATAAATTAAACATGGTCTCTGTTCTCAGAGAGCTCACAGCCTCCGTAACTCCCATGGGAGCATGTGGAGCAAGGGGAGCAAGGTAAAACTGGATGGTAACCTAAGAAACCACGAGAACATGAAGGTGACATTAACCCCGACTCTGTTCTCTTCAGAGGGAGTGACATCCAAGCTTAGACCAAATAAGGAGTAGGGCTTTTCCGAAGAAAGAATGGGGAGAGTGTCCCAGGCTGCGGGAACTGCATGTCCAAAGACTAGGAGCTGAGAACAAGCTTGTCTTAGAATATTTCAGGAGAGCTTTTGCATTATATGAAGCAGGAGAAGTTAGCAAGAGCCTCAAATGCCAGGCAGAATTGGGATAACGGGGAGCCAGGGAAGAATTTGAGCAAAGGAACAACATAGTAACACCCTTGAATCCAGGGAGGTCAGTGAATGGGGGAGACAGACCGGGGGGCAGGAAGACCAAGGGGGAGGCGGACCATGTCTGTTTGAGTGGCTGTAGAGAAGAACATCGTGCTTGGTAAAGTCTGTGGAAAAAAGGAAGACTCCCAATGAGATGGATTGGCATGGTGGCAGAAGCCCTGGGCTCAAGGGTAACAGTGACTGTGAGGATGGTGCACGACGAGGCAATGTTTTGTTCTTTTGTACATAGGGTCACACTCTAAGTGGTATTGACTCGATGGCACCTAACAACAACAAGTAGTGTGTGGCGGGGTCCCTGAGTGGTGCAAATGGCTAACATGTTAGGCTGTTAACAAAAAGGTTGGTAGTTTGAATCCACCCAGAAGCACCTCAGAAGAAAGCCCTGGGAATTGACTTCTGAGAAATCAACCAATGAAAATCCTGTGGAGCACATTCTATTCTGACAGATGTGGGGTTGCCTTTAGTTGGTGTTAACTCCATACATATTCTAAATGCTATGGAAACGGGTATAGGGAGGCGGATCTCACATGTGTAAAGTCTGAGTTCCCGACCAGACAGAATGAGTTCAAATCTACTTCTTGCCCTCTTTGAGCCTCAGTTTCCTGTCTGTAAAATGAGGTAATAATAGCGCCTGCTTCCCAGGGTCAATGTGAACATTCCAGGGGGTAATGTAGGCAAAGTGCCTGGTACCTGGGCTTGTGCTTCTGTTGTTTTGTGAGCCCCTACTAGCAGTTCGAAACTACCAGCTGCTTGGGAGAAAAATAAGGCTTTCTGATCCTGTAAAGATTTACAGCCTTGGAAACCCTGTTCAGGGTCGCTATGGGTCAGAACCGACTCGACGGCACATAACAACAACAACTATGTTCCACACATTGTTCTAGTGGGGACAAGCAGTGAATGTCCTCCTGGAGCTTTGAGAAACTGGGGAGCAATAAATGAATTTCAAAAGTGTTGGGTGTGGGCATGGGGGATGTGGTGGTTTGAACTGAAGGAGTGACCCCCATGGTGTTGATGAAAGACTGTTTCAGGCAGAAAGATGAGCAAGTGCAAAGGCTCTGAGGCTGGAATAGAAGATGATGTCATCACATAGACCTTACAGGCTGTTGCAAGGACTGTGGTAAGCACTTTACAAACATTAACTCATGTAACCTCACAATGCCCCCACATTTTACGTAAAAGGGAAACTCAGAGAGGTGAAGGAACTTGACCAAGGCCACACAGCAATAAAGTGGTGGAGCTGAGATCTACACCCAGGCAGTTGGGGTGCAGAGCTTGTGCATGAAACACTGCACACACTTCCTAGGACAGCCTAGTCTACAGTTTGGGGAGTGGATGTTTTGTCAGAGGTCTGGATTCCTGGGTTCTGTACACTCCCGGCAGAGGGATGTGCCAGGCTGGCCAACACAACCTCCCCCTCCTTCCTCATCCCTATGGCAGCCTTGGAGCACTGCCCCTCCATGGGTGAGGGTTTCCCACCCCTAGTGGAGGCAGTTTCTGGAGTGTGGGAAGGAGTGTTGAACTTTGGGCTGTAGAATGCCATCCATGAAGAAGGGAAGGAAGTGGGTGGGTGAGCCAGCAAAGCAGGGAGATAAGAGGTGGGGTTGGAGGAGCCAGGCAGGGGAAGGTCCAGTTCTGTGGGTGGGGGTGGACTGTGGGGGCAGGAAGGCCTTCCCACCCTGCCTTGGGGTGAGGGGAGGGGCGGGGGAGAAGAAGCAAAGCACAGAGGACCAGCAGGTGAAAATGTTGCCAGATGGCTGTGAGGAGGGACTTCCTCTGAAGGCACGGGCACCTTTTCTGGGTGGGTGTGCTCAAGCCAAAACCGACACCCACTTGAGGCTGTAGAGGGGGTTCAGAAATCAGGAGACACCCTTCCCACTCTGCTATTTCAAGAATCTGAGCTGCTAAGATTAAAAAATGCTCAAAGATTCTGAAAGTCCACCAATTCTACCATTTTAGGATTTGATTTGGCCTAACTCTGTAAGGACTTAGGATTCTGTAGGAGTCTCTGTGTGATGCAAAAAGTATGCACCCAGAAGCACCTCAAAAGTAAGGCCCGGCAACCTGCTTCTGAAAGGTCACAGCCTTAAAAAAAAAACCCCAGAGCAATTTTACTTGGCACACATAGGGTTGTCTTGAGTTGAAATAGAATTGACAACATCTAATAACAAGAACTCTGCAAGGCAACTTGGTACCTTTCTGTTGAGCCCTGGTGGTGTTGTGGGTTAGGCCTTGGACTGCTAACCTCAAAGTTGACAGTTCAAAACCCATCGGCCACTCAGCAGGAGAAAGATGAGGCTCTTTTCTCAGAAACCCTGTATCTGGTCACTGTGAGTCAGAATTGACTTGACAGCTGTAGGCTTGTTTGATTTTTGGAAACTGCTGAGCAGATGGGGCAAGGGCTCCTTCCAAGAGAGACATAACTAACAACCGCATACAGTTAAGGCAGCAGGGGTGGGACAATGGATGGGTTGGGAAGGCAGTTCTATTCCTGCGTTGCAGTGTGGCCTTGGGTACATCATTTGCCTTCTCTGGTTTTCATCTCTCCATCTGTTAACCCAGTTTAGGAATTCTGAATCTCCACTTAACTACTCACTCCTTGACACACCAAGGTGGGGGTGGCCAGGCAAGAGCCAGAGAGTATCTGTTGGTCATGGAAAAAATGTGAGGGCAGGAGGCCCAGTGGGTGGGGTCCCCGGCCTGGGCAGCTAGCTGTGGGCAAGATGAGATCATGGCGTCTGGGCCTCCCAGTCCAGCACCTCTGAGCCTGGGTCCTCCTTGTGGACATCCCTTGGGTCAGACAGTCAAGCCACTCAGGTCCCCAATCACTGGGCAACCAAGTGAAACCAAGGCACAGAGAGGGTGGGTACTGCAAGTCCTAAGCAGTAATAAGTTCAGGGGTCCTATTTGGGGAAGGGGTAGAGAAGGGACTCAAGGGCAGAGTTGCGTCTATGCACCTGGGTGTGGTTGGCCCTTTTGCATGTTCCCCAGGGTGGGGATAGGTGGACAGGCCTCTATCCCAGTTCAGGTGCCACACCTCCTTAGGGGATAGGTTGGTCAGGATGCTGGTGTGGGACTGAGGTCACTAGATTTGTAAATTCCTTCTTCTCTGACTTAACCAAGAAAGGACCACTTGCTCTATGAATCTGCTTAACTGTCTCTCTCTCTCCACCATTCACACACATACCTTGAGGGACAATGACCCACGCAAGTACAAAGCTACAGAGGAGCTCCCTTGCCCATACCTTTCACACCAGGACATTTGCTCCCTCCCTTGATCCATGCCCAGATGACATAGAACAGATCCTCATTCCTTCTCTCTTGCTTGGTGGGTTCCTGGGGTAGGGTCTGACAGGTATGGTGGGGAGGAGCCCTTTGCTGGCCATGCATTTTCACAACCCCTTTTGGCCTCAGTGAACCCCTACCCACTGGTCCCCTCCACCCGGACCAGGAGTCTGTGGGAACCAGACAGTTTGGGCTGTCCAGCCGGCTCGCTTCCTCCTGGGCCCCTGGGGACCTGCGAGGGAGGAGGGAGCAGCAGAGGCTGAAGTCGGTGGCCGCCTGCCAAGGAAGGAGGGCCTCTGGAAAGGGCCAGTTACCGATGATGAGTTTCCAACCCCTGGGTCCCCAGAGTCCTTTTATACCTCATGGGGCAGGAGACCCTCCAGCACCCACCCACCCCTGATGTCTAAAACAAAGGCTAGGTTGGGAGTGCCCCCAGTGTCTCAAGATCCTAGGACTCTTCTCATACCCATGAGCAAGATGGGAGAACTGAGGCTTGGACGGAGGAAGCCATTTGCCTCGGCTCCTCCTGGTACTAGGGGTGGAGCAATGAGATTTCAGATTTCATGTCGGGGACCATGAACTCCAAGGGGCATTTAGAGAAGGTCAAAGGTCAGGGCTCAGACAGTTCTGATCTGTGCTCAGGACAGCCATGTTGCCCTCCGCCAATGCCCCCATGAGAGAAACACTTTTGTAAAGAGTCACCAGGAGATCGCAGAGAGCTGGGCGTTCAGAGGAGGCCCCCCCCCCCCCACCACCTTTAGTGTGGGATCTAGGAGAAGGAGCCAGATAGCTAATTCTGAGCCTTGGGTTCTCTGTCTGTACAATGGGTCGTAGTTGAGTTGATTTTGACGCATATCGTCGTCATGTGACAGAGTAGACCTGCCACGTGGGGTTTCCTGAAATCCTGTAATCTTTACAGAGAAGCAGACCAGCAGAATTTCTCCCATGGAGTGAGTTCCTGGCTGGGTTCAAACCGCCAGCCTTGCAGTTAGCAGCCAAGAGTGCTTAGCCATTGTGCCATCACGGCTCCCAAACCATGGGTAAAGGGTGCCTTTTCAGCTCTGGCATTCTAGGGTTTCACAATAGCCTTTTCTCCTCTGGGACCACCACCGGCTCTGCTCTGATCCTACTTCATACCTCTACGTTTTCTCTCTAATTACAGGTGGGGGCTGGAGGGCAGAGGTGGCTGAAGAGTCTGCCTTTGGAGCCACGCAGACCTGGATATGGGGTCTTCTCTGTCACTCATTTGCCATCTGGACTAGTAACTAGTGAGTCCCAAACTCTGGAGCCTCAGTTTCTATCACTGTAAAATGAGGCTGACATTCCACACCACACAGGATTTGGTGACTTGATTCAGGAAAAGTCCAAGAGAGAATAAATGCCACAAATGGACAGCTCTTAGGACTGTTGGTAATGGGGGCGCTGAGTCACAGGGTTTGGGGCTGGAGAATTTGCCCCGAAGCCCAACCTAGCCTCAGCCCTGCCTGGTCTTGCTCCTGATTTATTCCCTCCCCCACTCTCCCTTCCTTTCCCTTCCTTGGAAACTCCCGGAGAAAGTCCCCAGAAAGTTTCATATGGGACATTTCTATCTGAGGGTCCCTTGACCAGCTGAATACACCCCTCACCCTCACAAACCATCAGGTGTCCTGGCCCCCAGTTCCCAACCATCCAGCAGGCTGACCCTTGTCATCACTCTAGCTTTATTGGCCCTGAGAGGCATGGAGCAAACCCCAAGGGGCCCTGCCCACTTCCCCTCACCCCAAGTTTGTCCTGAGGCCCTGAGGGCCTGGCTGAACATTCACTGCTCCAGTCCTGGCTTCCTGGCCTGGTTGTCCTTAGCTTGCCGGGGCTGAGTCCTTCATGAGCTCTCCAGGTCACAGAGTCAGGCGCAGCCCAGTGGGTGGTGGTCGCAGGGGCCCTGCAGGTACTGTCCAAGATCAGGCTGCCTTCACTCAAAGAAGAACATTCCTGGTGTCCGGTATAGGCAGGGGGTCAGCCCCAATGGGTAGCTGGAACCTCCCTGGACAGGGAAGCTGCCTGCAACCCAGGGTTCTTTATGGTCAGCTTGCAGGGGCAGCGGGGCCCTGAGTGAGGCTGGAGGGGTGGGGGATGCAGGGGAAGGAGCTGTTGAGGTCAAGAGGTGCTCAAGGCCTGGATCGGCCCCCATGCAGAAATTTAGTGCTTGCAGCCGGCATTGGTAGCTGCTCCCAATGCCTGCCTCGGTGGTCAAGATGGGTGTAGGGGTCTTGCGAAAGCCCTCAGGCTCAGAAAAGCCAGCAGGGAAGCCAAATGCTGGGCATGGGGAGGATGATGTGGCCACAGGGAGCTCTCCGGGGCCTGCCTGCTTGGGCGTGGGCATCTCTTTGGACTCCGTGGGCAGCTGAGGCCTTGCATTAGTGGTTGCTGGGCACATGCTGGCTGGCAAGGCCCCGACCAGACCCCCAAAGCTTAGGCCCTTGGGCTCTGGCAGCTCAGGTGGGAATGGGCACTGCCTGCCAGTTGCAGAGTCAGGAGGTCCTGGGTCCTGGCTGGTCACTCGGAGGGGTCCACGGCGGGTCTTGGCAGGGCCCTTGGGGCCCTCAGCACCTGCTCGCCGGGTGAAGCGCCGACGTCTGCGCAGGAAGCTGCCATGCTCGAACATGTCGTGGCAGTCGGGGTCCAGCGTCCAGTAGCTGCCCTTGCCTGGCTTGCGGTCATCGCGAGGTACTTTGACAAAGCACTCGTTGAGTGACAGGTTGTGGCGGATGCTGTTCTGCCAGCCAGGTCGATTGTGGCGGTAGAAGGCGAAGCGGCCCATGATGTAGCGGTAGATGCCGCTGAGTGTGGCCCTCTGGCCCGGGGAGCTCTGGATGGCCATGACGATCAGAGCTATGTAGCTGTAGGGAGGCTTGGTTGGTTCGGCCGCGGGGGCCAGGGGCCCGGGTGGGGACTGCTGCTGCATGCTGGCCGGGCTGGCGGATGCCGGGACCACAGGGCCAGGCACTGCGTCCAGGGCTGGCGTCCGGCACAGCCTGCCCAGGCTGGTTAAAAGGCCTACTGGCCCGGCCTCCCAGCCCAGAAAGGCAAAAAGGGGTGGGCCTGCCGGCTGCCCTCCCTTCCTCCCAGGCCCCCCTCCCTCAAGGCCCATGAGGGGAGGAGAGGCCGGGACTGGGAAGCTGTGAGAAGCTGCCAGGGGTGACATGGGGGGGGTGGGGGAAGGATTGAGACCCTCAGCCCACATGTGCTGGGTGATAGTGTCTGGGGAGGGACAGGATGTGAAACTAAGGAGGATGGAGGCAGAAACCAAAAGAGATGGAGACAGAGAGACAGAGACAGAAAATTGGGGGGCAGAGGAAAGAGAGACAGAAGTAGAAACAGAGATGGATAAATAAAAGACAGAAAAAAATAGACACACACACAGAGTTTGAGAAAGAGGGAGAGAGAGAATCACTGTGAGAGACAGAAAAAAATACACAGAGACAGAAGTGCAAACACCGGGAAGGAGGGGAGTGAAGAGAGAGAAGTGTTTGGATGAGAGCAGAGGGAGGTGGAATCAGCTCGGCTGAGCTGCTAAGAATTGGGAGTGCCGGCTGAAGTAAGAAGCACCATGGACTTCTCAGGTCTCCATTCCTAGTTCCATTTTTTCCCTCTCCTCCCCGCAGCGCAGAGCCCCGGGGTCACACAATTCCCTGTTCTCCTAGCACTGAAGTTCACATAGGGAGGGGTGCCTACGATGGTTCTGCAGCGGCCCTGGCGCCCTCTAGTGAGTGGTGTGGGAATGACAGGCAACTGGACAGATGCCTTCCTACAATGCAGTCTCAAGCAAGGCCAGCCCCCACCCTGGCTGAATCTCAGTTTCCTCATCTCTAAAAGAGGGCTGGCATCTCTTTAGATAACCATACTGTGGTGAAGAGGCAACCGGCTCCCCTACACAAAATTCAACGACCTTGGAGAACCCAACACAGAGTAGTAGTAGACCCAACCTCCTCCGAGAGCTCCAGTCTGTACAGCAAAGCTAAGATAAGACAGTAAGACCTTCCCTGCTCTTCCACTCCCCAAGTGACAAGTCAGTATGAACTTACTGTGTACCACCAGGCCACCTTCCCTTTCTTCTCCAATTTACTACTCAAACTAACCTGCCCCAGAGGTTTTTGTAGGCTATTTTTAAGAAATGAAGAATCTGTGAAATAAGTCAATCACAAGAGGACAAATACTGTCTGATTTCACTCACATGAGAGGGTTTCAAAAAGTTCATGGGGAAAATAGCATGAAAAGTTAATGGAATGTTTCCATGATATTTTTGAAGTTCACTCATATGAGATGCTGAAAATTGATAAATATAGAGAGACCAGTGATTATTAGTGGTTACTTGGGGGTGGAAGAGGGTAGGCAGAAAGGAATCATTTTCTGGAACATAGTGAGTTTATATTTATGGTGATGGGACAATTGGCATTGATTAAAGGTAGTGGTTTACAACTTAACCAATATAACTGATACCATTAAGCTATATACCAGGAAAAGGGCAAATAGCAAATGTTGTGCTTTATATAAATGTACAGTGACAACAACAACAAAAAAGAGGATGCAGTTGCTGAAACTCCTTAGGGACAACCAAACATCTCATGGTATTAGTTCTCTTGGTTTGAAGGCTTAGGGTCATGGCTTCATGGACCTATCCAGTTAATTGGTTTAACAGTATTTTTATAATTTCTTTTCTACTCCCATACCCAGACTGGTGAGTAGTGTTTGGAGTCTTCAAAGCTTGCAAGCACCATCAAAGATACAATAATTGGCCCCTGTTCACCTGGGACAGTAGAGGAAGAGGAGACCCAAGAATCAGAGAAGGAACCAGTCTGCAGGACTAGATGTCTTCATGAACTATGAACTACAGTCCCCTTTGCCACAAGACCAAAAGAACTGAATGGTGCTTGACTACCATTACTGAACGTGATCAAGGACTCAATTGATGCGTCCTGATTAAAAGAGGAGAAAATGTGTAACAGACTTTAAAATTCCTAATAGAATCCAGCAGACTCATTGAGGTTGATGGAACCCCTGAATCTGTTACTTTGAGAAAAATTTCAAACCTTGAACCAAAACTATCTCCTGAAGTCATCTTCAAGCTAAACAACAGTTTAGTTGAATTAATAAAGAATTTTGCCATGAGCGTTGGGCTTTTTAAAAAGAATTATCTATATCAGATCAAATTAACAACAATAACTTGAAAGCACAGATACATAGTTTATGGGGCAGTGAGTCAGGTCAAAGGTGGTGAAACAATCTGGGTCAAGATACAGAAAATGATCACACAATAGAAAACAGTAAAACCAAGAAATCAACAAGACTAGAAATGAGTTCTTTGAGAAGATCAACAAAATTGACAAAGCACTGGCAAAACTGACAAAGGAATAAAGCAAAATAAAATGAGAAGATGTGAATAATCTAAATAAGAAATAAGATGGCTGACATTACAATAGAACCATCTGAGAAAAAAAAGATCATAAAAGAATACTATGAAAAGTTATATTCCAGCAGGTTTGAAAACCTAGAAGAAATGAACACATTTCTAGACACACACTGCCTATCTAGATGAACATAACAAAAGAAGAAATTGAAGATGCAACTTAAAAAAAAAAAAAAAAAATCCCAGCAAAAAAAAGAGCCCTGGCCCAGACAGTTTCACTGGAGAATTTTAGCAAACATTCAGAGAAGAGTTGAAACCAATTCTACTCAAACTATCCCAGAACACAGAAAAGGAAGGGATACACCTTATTCCATTCTATGAAGCCAGCATAATCCTGATACCAAAGCCAGGCAAAATACCACTAAAAAAGAAAATTACAGATGAACATATCTCAAGAATTATTTCTGTTGCTAAGTGCCATTGAGTCGATTCCGACCCATAGTGACCCTGCACAGGGTTTCCAAGGAGCAGCTGGTTAGCTTGAGCCACCGACCTCACAGTTCAAATGACTTTGCAGTGTGATGCATTAGCTCACAGCGCCACACCAGGTGTCTCATGAATATACAAGCAAAAATACTTAACCAAATTTTAGCCAATAGAATGCAACAACATATCCAAAAACAACAACAACAAAAAGCAACTAATCAAGTGGGATTCACACTAGGGGTGCAAGGATGGTTCAACATTAGAAAAGCAATCAATGTAATTCAGCACAAGAATAAAACAAAGATAAAGGGTCACATGAACATCTCAACTGAAGTAACAAAGGCATTTGATAAAATTCAACACTCTGAAATAATAAAAACTCTCAGCAACATAGAAATAGAAAGGACTTTCCTCAACATAATTAAGGCCACAAATGCAAAACCAATAGCCAACATTACTCTCAATGGAGAAAGATTGATAGCATTCCCCTAAGAATGGGAATGAGACAAGGATGCTCTTTATCACCATTCCTATTCAATATTGTATTGTAAGTTATAGCTAGAGCAATCAAACAAGAACAGGGAATAGAAGGTATCAAAATTGGAAAGAAAGAAGTAAAACTAGGGCCCAAGCGTTGCAGACCGTCCAAACCATAGGCTCTGAGGATCAGACTTTAGCCGCCTAGCAGACATAGCAAACTGTCCCTCATCTGATTATTCAGTTATGCTTGTTAGTAATCGCATACATGAGCCCTGGATATCTACAGATAAATGTAAAAACCTTCCCTAAAAGCCGAGACTGTAAATATGCAATGTCCTGCCCCCCCCCCAAAAAAAAGCAAAAGAGGATAGAGAGAAACACTGTTAACTGATGATGTATGGAGGGGATTATAATCAATGTAATGAAACAAGTCATATAAATGGTTGAATGTGAAACTGATGATGTGCCCTGTAAACTTTCACTCAATCCACAATAAAAACCTTAAAAAAAAAAGTAAAACTGTCCGTATTCAAAGACGACATGATCCTGTTATTGTTGTTAAGTGCCATTGAGTCGGTTCTGATTCATAGTGACACTGTGTTGGGTTTCCGAGGCTTTAAATCTTTGTGGGACCAGAGTGGTTGACGGGCTCAAACCATGGACCTTATGGTTCTCAGTCCAGTGCTTATCGTGTGGAGCCACCTGTATGAGACATAAAAATGCAGGAGACTCCACAGAGAAGTTATTGGAACTAACAGAAGGATTCAGCAAAGTGGCAGGGTACATGATCAACGCTCAGACTCAGTTGGGTTCCTGTACGCTAACACGGGAGATCACTGAAAAGGAAATCAAGAAAATAATACCATTTATAATATATAATAGCTCCTAAAAGGATAAAATACCTAGGAATAAACCTAAGCAGGGATGTAACAAATTTATATAAGGAAAACTACAAAATACTAGTACAATGAACGAAAAGAGATGAACATAAATGGAAAAACATTTCATGCTCTTGGCTTGGAAGAGTTAACATTATAAAAATGTCAATTCTACCAAAGGCAATTTATTGATATAATGCAATCCAGATCCAAATCTCAATAAAATTCTTTACTGAAATGGAAAAACTAATCCCTAACTTTTTATGGAAAGGAAGAAGTCACCAAATACTTAAAACAATATATTTTTAAAAGGAGCAAAGTAGGAGGCGTCTCACTTTCAGATTCCAATAGTTATTCTACAAACATTGTAATAAAACCAGCGTGGTACGGGTACAATGAGAGCCACATAGACCAATGGAATAGAATTGAGAACCTAGAAGTAAATCCATTCATTTATGGGCAGCTGATCTTTGACAAAGGGTCAAAGTCTATTGAGTGGGGAAGAAACAGTCATTAACAAAAGTTGTTGTTGTTATCATTATTAGGTGCCGTCAAGTTGGTTCAGGCTCATAGCAACCCTGTATAGGGTTTCAGAGGCTGTAAATCTTTGCGGGAGCAGAAAGCCTCATCTTTCTCCTGCACTAAGCATGATAGAAGAACCCTCGGAGTGGTTGGTGGATTCAAACAGCCAACCTTGTGTTTAGTAGTCCAATG